ACAAGCACAAACATGTGGCTGTGTTTGGGATATACACAAATAAATTTGTTTTATGTCATGAGTATTTAGTATGATTACTTTATAGTTACAAAAATACATCGGAATTATAACGTTTCCATGTGGTCTTTCATGTGTGACCAACCTGCATCATCAGTTTAATTAAGGGATAACTAAATCCACAAATTATCATATAAACTTTATTATACAATAGTCACTGGCACACACAGCAGACAATGTCATACAGAAATGGCATTATCATATTTTTGACATATCTTTTTTTTTATTTAGATTTTTTTAACAAAGAAGAATTGATGGATGATTAGTTGAAAGTTGATAGAATAGATTATGAAACTTATCACACATGACACATGAAGTAGCTCGATGAAAGAGAAGATGATGAATGTGTCAGCAGGACTTAGTGACGCTTTTATCATTGATCCGTCAACACCAGGGATTTGTGGTCCTATAGCTTGACCTCCTGATAGCGCCCTGGATTAAGGGTAAGATGTTAGGTTAATCTTGAACTCCTGACAGTGCCCTGGATAAAGGGCAGGAGGTCAGGTTAATTATGACCTCCTGCGAGTGCCCAGGATTAAGGGCAAGAGGTCAGGTTAATCTTGATCTCCTGACAGTGCCCAGGATTAAGGGCAGGAGAAGAGGAGGTCGGATTAATCTTAACCTCCTGACATTACCCAGGATTATGGGAAAGAAGTCAGGTTAATCTTGACCTCCTGACAGTGCTCAAGATTAGGGGCAAGAGAGGTCAAGCTAGTCTTGCCCTCCTTGAGAATGCCCAAGACTCAGGGCGAGAGAAGAGGAGATCTAGTTAATCTTGACCCCCCGACAGTACCCAAGACTGAGGGCAGGAGGTCAGTCAATATTGTCTTGCTTAAAAAAACAAAACAAAACATAGACTTCAGCACAGTTTATACAAATTCTACAGCAGTCAGTCACAATACTATGTCCATAATGTCTTTTCCTGGAGAGTATGAACTCCCAGTACACTTCCTCCCCACACTCCAGGAGACCTTCAGTGAGAGAGATGTCTGTATAACTGATGCTTAGTGTTATAGTAAGACATAAATCTTTTCACACTTACGGAAAACCTAAGCATCTGTTTTGTTATATAATTCTTTTCTTATGCCATTTTAATTCTGGTTATTATCAGAGTAAGGAAATTTAGGCAAGATATATAAAAAAATCTACATTAATCATTTACAACGCTAAGTTGAAAACCTCCAGCTTTTCAGAGTCAAAACAAAGAATTTAAAAGTATGGGTCATTGCTTATGTGTCGTATCACTTCTTATGTCAATCACTTACACCTTTTGTAAGAGTCTAAACTTACTAATCCAAAGTACAAAAACACAATATTTCACCAAAATACGACTTATACAAAAAGATGAATCTCACAAATAAGACGAATTTTACAATTAAGACGAATTTCCAACAAGACAAATAATTTCAAAGTACGTGACATCTGTACAACTGTCTCTGATAATTCACTCCTCTCGTATAGTCTCAGTCTTACTCGTAGAAAGATTTAGTTTACTGGGCTGTTATGTATCTCTGCATGTATTAATTAAACATGTCTTTACATCACATAGCATCATCCTCACTGTCTGTTGAGGACCCGTTCCTGAGGGTTTGTTTTGAGGGATTGTAGTTGTAAAATTCTCGGAGTTTTGTAGATTTGTGGATTTGAGTTTACCGTCGACTGTACACAAACACACACACACAGGGATACACTTCTTTAACATGAGTTTCAACAGGGATTATCATTATTTTTCTTATATTAGGTGGGGGAGGGAGGGGGTTGACTTCACAGAGACATACTCGTCATAGAAGCTCCAGTCGTGTTTACTTTGGTGTTTGGTGAGGCAGTGTTTCCTGGGGATGTTTTTGGTGTCCCATTAGTTGATGAAAATTATGTGTTGCCAACCAGTTATTATGATGACACTTCATGGCGTCCTTCTCATTATATGAATCAGCACTTCCGTTCTCCCTCCAACACACCAAATGCCTCATAGTGTGATGGACCGTCTGAGGCTTTTGTTTTTGTGTTTGTTTTTGTATGACTAGTGCAACCCTGGTCCACTCATGTTATTATGTCATTTACACACACACACACACACACATTATTATTATTACTTACACACACACACACACACACATTATTATTATTACACACACACACACACACACACACATTATTATTATTACACACACACACACACACACACACGCATTATTATTATTACACACACACACACACACACACACACATAAACACTCAGACACACGCACACAGACTAATACCAAGACACACATAAGAACATAAGAACATAAGAATGGAGGAAACTGCAGCGGGCCTATTGGCCCATACTGGGCAGTCCCGTTTACACCCAACCCCTATTGCTCATATGAGCATCCAACCCAAGCACACACGCACACACACATACACCCAAACACACATGCATACACAGACAAACACCTAGACACACGCACACAGACATACAAACACCCAGACATATACACACAGACAAACACGCAGACACACACACACACACACACATCCTTACACACCCGCAGACACACAAACAAACATCTAGACACATACACGTATAGAACAATATTTTCCCTGGATATATACAGTACAGTAGAGCCGAATGTTGTCTGAGTTCGGGTAGTGAGGTCCAGCGTCAGTGTTGTGATGGAGACCCTAGCACCGAGGTCCTCTCTCTCCCTCCGCCTCATGAGGTGTGTGGCTGCTCGGTGGTGTGGCCTTCCAAGTTCAGCACCGCCCACACACCCGCTGCACCGTCCAGACACCGGGTGCACCGCCTACACACCCGCTGCACCACCCACACACCCACTGAACTGCCCACGCACCCGCTGCAGCGTTGACACGCACCCTGCACCGCCCTCTACACTACCAACACACCGAACACACCCGGCCATTACACCCATTACACAGCCCGAGTAGAGATTATACACATCCCGCGCCCCTCTGCCGCGCCCGCAGGTCTACTACACGGAGCTCTCGTGCTCCGAGGTGGGCTGGAACAGCTTGGGCGTGGAGGGCGGGGGATGGTGAGGCTGAGGCACGTACTGCCTGGCCAGCTGATGGTCGGTGAGGTGTGTGGGCAGCTGTGTTAGCTGGGGAGGAAGTTGGTCTAGCGGCCTCAGGTAGGCTGAGTGTCGCCTGGGATCCACCACACCGTATGGGGACAAGGGAGACGTGTCAGATTGCTCCTTCCCCACGCCTGCTGTACCACCAGGTGCACCGCTCCACACGTCTTCCCCCATCGACCAGTCACGCTCACCCTGCAACATGACACACACACGGACATGAGACTGTGATGAAGACTTGTTAAGTAATGGTTATGTTAATTAGCAGATATGAAGATACAAATTGATTAATACTACAGGTAAACACACACACACAGGCCGTGGGCTAGGTAGGATAACCCTCCCCCCCCCAAAAAAAAATAATCTACTTTTTTGGCACCATTTTGTTTCTCAGAATGTCCTGAAGGTGAAAAATTATGTTAACAATGAAATTTTCAGGTTTGAATGCGTGGTCGCGGGGCGCGTTTGTGAAATGCTGAAGTTTACGACGTCTGCTTACAGTCTTCCACACACCATAGTATTATTTTATAAAATCGAAGTAACTGCACGCTAATATGAAAGAGAACACCACAAGATTTTAAATGGGCCATTAATCCGCTATTTTGTATAAATATAAGTGCATAAATTACGTATTTTCCTATGTGCGACATCAACCGAAAATAGTTGTTTTTTAGCAAAATACCTAAATACCGGGTACTTCTATGACTTTACTCACAATAGGAATAGTTTGGTCATACACGTATGAAAAGAAAGCTTATTATCTCTACGTATCCTTTCTATAAGAAATACATATATTAAACCTGAAGCTATTGGCCTATGCATTGTACCATGACACAATATTCTATGCCGATTTTCAGTGTATTTTTCTGTCATGTTAAGTTCCATACTCTGTCAGATGGTTTAATTATATTGTCATTCTAAAAAATGTGATCTGAAAACAATATTTTTGTTACGATGATAAAGAAAAATTTTTAATTTCAGATGTCAATATTTTTATTTTATTTTGTAAAAAGTGTATCGTGTACCATATCAACATTATTAATTACAGAATTGTTATGTACACATATATCTAACTGTACAAACGCTGACAACTTTATTTATATTGATTCACTGATGATCTAAATTATGTTTATAATTATTAATATAATATTTCACAAATGAAGTAATAAAAATAACAAAAATGAACTGATAAAAAAGATATAAAAAAGGTATCAACATAGACATTTTAGTCCAACATAGTTACATTATGGTCGATATTTTGGAGTTTTTTAGAAGTGTCCATTAAAGGCGTTTGTGCTGTCACACCCACTGTAAGCATGAAGTGCTATAAGTGCCGAGCAGTGCTCGTGGGTGCACCCTTGAGCAATATCACTGATGGAAATGAGCCTTTTCTTATTTCCTGTACGTGTGTCAAACAATACTGTGATAATATGTAACTGCAGGACGTAATGTAGGAATACATTACTGTCAGGGCTCTTCACTCTGATGTATTCATAATGTTTTTCCTTTGCGTATAAGCAATACAAGCTGTTTCTCTAATCAGTTTTTTGGGGTTGATTGTAGGTCTGTGATTTCAATACAGTTTGAGGTGTTACCGTCTCCGGAGGTTAGCTGGTATGATGACTCTTCACATTTTTTGTTGTTTGTTTACGGGGATTAGTCCACTCGGACACAGGTCGCTGACCCATATCGGGGCCTGGGGAACTATAAATAAAAACAACAAAAACAGATCAAGAGTAAGAAACGACATATGTACAGTATGTTGTGTTGTCAAAGTAAGAGAAACAATTGAGACCCTGCAATTGCGTGTAACTGAGGCAGAAAGTCAGATGAGCAACCTGGGACTTGGTCACAATTTTTGTGATGCCATATGGCAGCAGGGTCTACCATTAGACAACACAATATGCTTCCAATATCTTCCCAGGCGGTAGTACCTCCCTGTTTGGTAGCTGTCTACTACCTACTACATACAAATATCTATTTTGGAGATTAACAGCAAATGAATTAGAACTCCACACAGCATACAAAACTTGAATGAACTGTTT